CCTGCTAGTCTGAATATATATCCAGAGACTGAAAGTCTACCAATATTGTTTGCAAAATCTGAATCTGAATACCCATAAGGCTTTATTTTGTGGTCATCTTTGTATGCTATCTTGTCTGTAAACCATTTTAAGACAACTTCCTTATCAGAAGCTTGTTATTTTAGTCCCAAATCTTTGGTTCCTATTGAGTATCTGAGCATTCTTTTTGCGGCTGACCAATGAGATAAATTGGGATCTGCAATGAAAGCACTAAGTTTATTAACTGCAAAGGCTCTGGGTGTGTTGCTCAGGCCAAATACATTAATGATCCAATTAAGGAAGTGTAACAGCTGCTTCAGTTTGCCTCCCCTGGGGGATTCTTAGGTTCTAATTTTACTTTGGTTTCCATTGTTGTAAACACAGCATTGCTGTTGTCAAGTCCCCAATGTTCAATTATAGCTTCAATATATTTGGTTTGGGTTATAGTTAGCATACCTTTTTCTTGGTTGCGCATTATTTCTATTCCTACAATTTTGGATGGTTCACTCATATCTGCAATATCAAACAAAGTTTTAATTTCTTGTTTCAGCTTTGTCATAATATCTTTTTCTTTTGTAAACAAGAGTAGATTGTCTACCCATACAGTTATTATCTCAAGTTTCCTGGGAGTCCATCATATATAGATGCAGGAATCCAATTTTAGTCTTTCAAATCCAAGTTTGGTCAATTTATCATGCAGTTCCTGATTCCATTCTTGGCCTGATTGTTTAAGTCCGTATAGGGTTTTCTTAGTTTGCACGCATGTTTAGTGCCGTTTTCAAAGCCCTCAGTTTGCTTTATATAGACATCTTCTTTTAATGTTCCATTTATATATGCGTCTTTCACATCCATTTGTTGTATTTCCCAGTTTTCTGCAATGGCAACTGTAAGAATTAACCAAGGCATTTCCAGTATTACTACTGGTGAGAATGTATTGTTAAAATCCATCCCAGGTATTTGAGAATATCCCTTGATTACTAATCTGGCTTTATGTTTAATTGACTCCCCCTCTTTATCCCATTTTTGGGTAAATACCCATCTATTCCCTATGGAGTTTTGCTTATTGGGGCAGTGGGTTAGAATCCGGGTTCCATATATTTTTATCTGTTCTAATTCAGCTTCAATGGCTTTTAACCACTGAGGCTAGAAAGGGCTTTGTTTTGCTTCTTTGAGTAACTTTGGGTCTTCTGAGACTATTATTGCTTCATTAAATGTGTTATAAATATGTTCTGCCATATATATCTGTTTTTTGTCATTATTCTCATGTGCCAGTTCAGCCATTTCAGGGATATCCTCCCCCTCATTCAGTTTATTATAACCATGAGTCTTTCTAGGTCTTTGACTTCACCTTGTAGGCTCTGAGTCTGAATTTGGAATTGGAGTTCTGTTTTTGGAAGGTGCTGGGTTTGAACTCAAGTTGCAAGTTGAGGATTTTGGTGTGGTTTTCTCCAGCTGCTCCTCCTTGCACCAAATATCTGGCTGTTCAAATTTTTAAAGTTTTGAGAGACTTTCACTGATCTGTGCATTTTATCATAGTATTTAATCACTTTGGGCCCATCTTGGTAGCCAACAAAGGTATCTTTTACTGCTTTTGGACTTAGTTTAGATATATTTTTGCCTTCTATGAGAATATACACTGGGAAACCAAATTCCCCCAAGTGTGATATGTTTGGTTGCTTATGTAACCATTTTTGTAAGGTGTTTATTGTTTATTGCATGCATGAATGTGCAGTTTCAAAGATGGGCAGCATGTAGGGCAGCATGTATCCAAAGGAATCTTGGAACATTCTGGCCAATTAGCATTGCATGTGAAAGTTCTATAATAGTCTGATTATAGTGCTTGGCTACTCCATTTTGCACATGTGCATGTGGCACGGTGGCTTTAAGGGTTATCCCCTTTTGGGAACACCAAGGCATAAATTTATTGTTCATGTATTTCCACCCGTTGCCAGAGCAGATTTTTTTATAGTATAGTTGTGTTGTTTTTCTATTAGTGTTATGTGGTTTTTTTAGTTTATTGGACACTTCTGCTTTTGTTTTTTTAATGGTATGATATCTGAATATTGCAAATGGTTGTTTACTACAGACATAAAATATTTGAGGCCTCAAATGGACTCTGTTTGGGTCAGACCCCACAGATTGGTAAAGATCTGTTCCCTTGGGGTTTGAGATTGATTGTCAACTGTTTTGGAAAATGGATGTCTTGTCATTTTTGCTTCTGTGCACACATCACATTGGACTTGTTCTGGGTCCAGAGTTATCTTTAACCTGGTCACCATGTTTTCAGTTGCGAGTATTTTTATTGCAGGAACATTGATGTGGCCAAATCTTTGGTGTCACTGTTCCCAAGTATGAGCTATTGGCTCCATAAAATAAGATTTTTCCCCTTTAAGGACTGGTCTGCTTTTAATATAGTATAAGTTGTTTATTACTGACGTTTGCGTTCGACCTTGCCAACGCGAATTTTAAAAATAAAAATCCACAAAAGGCAGCTGCATCCACGTGTCTGGGTCTCGTAGTCATAAGTAATCTCCTATTCTCCTCGTCTACTACGGAACTGGGGATTTATAAACCACCTACACCATCTGAGAATACTCTCCATGTTCTATGAGATAGATCAGTCATAGCATAAGTCAGGAATGATGATTCGGGGCCTGGTAAGATACTGAGTTGGTTACAGAGGTAGTCAATATTAATTACCAAGAATTGACTTATAATTATCAGTCTGATTGAATCCAAGCTACATATTAGCCACGTGTTGGCTTGGCGTAGACATGATCTATTTTTATTTAATTTTTCCGTTCAGCAAGGTCGAACGCAAACGTCAGTAATTGAGCACCGATTGCATCGTAATTTGCACAGGTCACTGCCGCCAGGAAATGT